TAAAAGCACACATTTTAAAGGAATAAAGAGGAGAAACACTGGAATGTAGAAATAAATCTAAGAATTACACACGAATCGATCCCGTTACTTGCGCTAACGGGTCGTTTTATCGACATTTAAATCCAAAATGTCCCGGGCCTCGTTAATCGGGCTCAGATTGCTAACCGATTAGCTCGCTTTATCGCATGCCTGTCTTAAAACACGAGACAAACAATGTAGGTTTCAATGACATTTACAATGAACATTCAGTAGCAAGAACATATAAAGATAAGGACCATTTATATGAATGAAAAATAGAGTAAACGGAGTTTAACTAATGTAACTAGCTAGCCGCAGTGTATCAGAACATCATAAGCACTAAAAACTAACTGTCAGGGCGCTTTACATATAAAGTCATCATTTCCGAATATGTTCATAGTACAATAATAAAAGTTGCTAAATTGTAATGAACAACATTATAGTATAGATATTAGCTCTCATGCTGTATATCATAACGGGTGCTGAACCGCTAGTTTAGCTTAGCGGTGATGGGAATTAGTGAGTGAGCATCAGTAATCACTCACTGTACTGCCTTATGAACTCTAATGGATTGAGTTGTATATTAAATACAGGTATATGTACAACACATTAGAATAAATAAAAAAAACTAATTACGTAAATTATTATTATATTATATTGCTTTTCAGTACTATTTATATGTAATTTATTAATTTGCATTTATCAGTGATATTGTAGTATTATATTTAGTATTATTTATTATATAATAGTTACTAATATTTTGAATTGTCTTTTAGTATTATATTTTCAGTTTTTGTTTTAACTCTAGTTAATTTTTAAAAACTTTATGTGCTTTGTCGTATTATTCGTTTTTGTTGCATAAAATATTTATATTTAGCTTTAATGTATTAAGTTTCAGTAACCTATATACTGCCTTATGAATAGTAGTGAATTCAATTGTATGTTAAATACAGTTATGTGAACAACACATATTAGAATATATACAAAAATAATTGCGGCATTATATTGCATTATCGGTGTTATTTTAGTGTTATTCATAGTAGTTATTCATATTTTGAATTAGCTTTTACTTTTATATTTTCAGTTTTCATTTGACTTGTATTTAAATGTTTAATAATTTTGTGTTTTTTTATTGTTGTTGTTTATATATTTATATTTATATTCCCACTATTAATCATTTTCCTGAGACATCTGATTCTCATTGTGAGGATTTTGCGAGATATTTTAATGATAAGATCTCACAGATTAAATCTCTATTGCCTTTGTCAGCTTATACACCGCTTGATGTTCCTCTCTGCTGTTCTACATGGTCTGTCTTTGAGCCTGTTCAGGGCTCTACGCTTACTTTTCTTTTTAGGAGCACTTGTGCTCCTAACTTAAAAAATTTAGGAGCACGTTTAAAATTTTAGGAGCACCTTCTAAACAATTATCCAAAATTTTATCAAAAAGTAGCCTTCCCATTACAAGGTGATATTTGACTCCTCTAACTTTATTAAAAGTATGTCATCTTTTGTCAAATTCTTTAAAAAATTATATTTTATAAGCTTTTTAAAAATTGTAATTAAAACGACAGAATAAGAACAAGTAGAATAAGAAATATAAGTTACCAATCAAATGAAATCAGTATTAACAAAATTAATTTGTAGAGGTGGCACAGAAGAACACAAAAGTGGCTTGGTGTACTTTCAGACATTTAATGAGGCTCAGAGGT